TATTGAAAACAATTTTATATTTTACTGACTTAAGTTTACTGGCTAGTGCTATTCATACACCAATTTTCAGCATCTAATTTATAACAGCACTTAGTGTGAGTTCACTTTATCTGTACCCCTCACATTTGAATAAAGATATGTGTATCTCCAGACACACAGAACTCGTGGGATGTAGGGACACTGGGATTTCTAGGTATAATTGTGATTTCAGTAAACATGCATTTCTAGAAGTAACAAATGTTTATCATGGAATATTCTGTATTGGAAGGGACCCACAAGGATCGAGTCAAACATCAGAGAGTCACTTTGCTGCACCAGTCACACAAGATACATCATCACCTGGAGAAACACCTACAGCTGTAAATATAAAGTACTTTTCTAAATAAAAAATATTCTGTTCACTCAACATATACAAAACAAAGGAGTGGATATTTAAGAGGATATTTAATCTTCATTTCTYATATTGGGTTCACAGAAGAAAATATGTATCTTTGCCAAAACACCTGTAGTTCAAAGATCTTGGTGCTCTTGCTACACCTCTTGCTCTGTTAAAGGGCTCCTTTCATGGTTTTATTCTCCKTTAGGTTTGATTTCGCCAACTCCTGCAATGGTAATTCAAATCCAAGAGCCTGTCTACACAGGGCTGCACACCAGAAGAGCCATTCCAAATATTTAGGCATAAACATTTCCAGTTCACAGTCTCTTTATGTAAGAGCTACGTATGTGGGGGAAATAAACTTGGTATGCTAATGTTAGCAAATTTCCACATGTAAATTAGCTCTCAATTTCCCAATCAAATAAATCCATCTCCCACATCTCTTGGGGTCTCAYAGGAATGAGAGACAGTATTTTATAACTGCCTACTTACAAACAGAAACCTATTTTGCAAGATTATTTCTGCATTTGTTGTTTTGTACAAGAATTGTGTAATGAAGATGAAAGGAAATGGAAGACAAAGCTAGGATTCTTCCACTTTTTGAAGTGGAAAAATCTAAGTCCATGGGATTTGCCTACTAAAATATCCACTGATTTTTTTTTTTTTATCCCCAGAGCAGTGATCAACCACTTATCTGCCAAGAATAGTGCTGGGKTTGTATTTAATACTGTGGTTACAATTGTGGAATCTATTTCAGGGCATCATAAGCAGTGTTAATGTCCCAGCCTCTCAACTTCCACCCTGTTCCCTATAGCTTACATCATCCATCTCCTTGATTTCCAAGCAGTTCTGGAAACAAAGTCATTCAGAACTGATGGGTGCAGATCTCAGGCTCACCAAGATAAATAAAATTTCCTCCTCTAATGTAGAGTGCTTCAATGCATACTCACTTGTAGAGAAACCTAATTACTCCAGTCATATTAGTGCAACTGAACAGAAACAAACATACCTGCACAGGTCCCGAAAGCACTGTCTAACCCACTATTAAGTTTCTACTGTGCAAAAACTTCTTGTATAGTCAAGGACATCCAATTCTCCTTCAGACTAGACTACAGTGACATGTTGAGCTGTCAGTGCCTGCCAGGAATTCTGGAGCTCCCTTCCCTATCAGCTTCTTTAAGGAACATTCTTACCTTGCACAAAACTGCTGCCTTCAGARTCCTGGGCACTCATCAGCGCTTTTAATGAAACATGATCTGTGGACAATCAAGGGGCAGAACAATTCTAGTGATACATGGACTACAACATTTGTATGATTTTTAAAGAGCAGTGTAATTAAGATTAGCTGTGTCATAGCTTATGTAGTTTGATGAAGCAGCGTATCCTCACAGACATCAGTTTAGACGGTGGCATGTTAGCTGTCATTGTGACAGTGGGCTCTGCAKACTGCAGGGATTGGTAACTCTTCACTGAAGCTTTCAAAACCTGAGTTCCTGGAGGTTTTGGAGGCACCAAGTTTGCACACAGAGATTACAAAAACAGTCATCATCCTAAACAAATGGATGTATGTAAAATATATTACATGTAGTTTTCACTCTTTCTGGCACTCACTGATGTTTGAGCCCAGCCTCACATTTTCATTCTTTTCTAAAAGATGCTCTAAATGGCTTTATTACGTACTGCAATGACTGAAGGTCTGATGGTAAATAAGGAAGTCCCAACCTCCRTGTCACGTAAGCAAGTTGCTTATACCTGAAGGGTGAGTTTGTGTCAAAAACGTTCCTGATAGCACATGCAGTTGTGTCCACAGGACAGAATTGCTACAAAACCACAGATAATTGCATTGTCCAGCTGTCATAACCACACACATACACCAGTAAAACACAGAATGAAACTAGTTAGGATACTGAATCACAAAAGTTGTGCATCTCTTCTGGCCTTATTCTGTTAAAGATGCTTTACTGYAAATCAGTCCTTCAGTTCTTAAATATTATTTGCATGTTCTCCTTGCAAGGAAGTCTCAAATTCTCTAAAGCAGAAACACACTAGCTCTGAAACATCGAGATAAACTCTCTAAGTATCAGTTTAAACCAAGAATCCTGGCTCTATCGTAGGTTGAGTCTTGGATCACATCAGTCACACTTTGCTGTGGTCTGCACAGGGTAAGCAAGGAACTAAAAACAACTGTGAGAGCAAAAATCTCAGCCGTGGGATTCTGTCATGCACCTTTTAAAAAGCTACAAGTCAGAAAGGCTCTTCCACAAAAGCCTACAGGGGGCCCTAGTCTTCAATGCCTCTTCCGTCTTTGGGACTCAACCTTCCCCAGGACAACGTGACCTGGTTAAGCAATTAACAACGAACCAAACCTATCAAAACTCCCTGAATTTCAGCAAGGTTGATTTGTGGACAATTTTGAGGCAAAACCAAACACGTGCAGTTGGTTAATTTTATTCCTCAAACAGAAATTTCCTAACTGCACATTACTTTACTCCCTTCGTTAAATAAACTTAACTTCTCGTCTCATCTCTTCTGTTGACAAGCCCAAAACAGAGGTGCATACTGACCTTTTTAGACAGAGGCAGAAAGAACAGATTTTTTTTTTTACTGTGCTGCAAATCAGTGTAATTGCTCCTGCTGCAGCAACATCTGCCTTTCCAGATACTGAGAAGGCAGATACTGAAAAGCATMCTGCTACATAATGGAATTTTAAGATCCAGAAAACAAAATAAATGCTTGTAAAAACTTCTCTGATCTTTTCCCCACCCCACACTATTTTGAAAAGCATAAACCATGTAACAGAAAACAACACATAACAGAAAAYAGCTCTTCCATTTCAAACCAGTTTAGGTGCTTAAAAGCTATATGTCTTTATTTGCCTTTTGTGCTTTGTCAATATTAATATCAATATTAATACTAAAAGATGCATGCTGTAATTGTTCAGATTTGCATTCTTTTTGTGTATTCTGCCATTTATCACACCAAATTGTTACTAAATTGATGGGTTTGCTCTTGTTTAAAGGCTCTTGTTCTAGTTTCACAATCATGACATCCGATTGGCAACTCTTTCTGCAGTGGAGTGACAAACATTTTAAAGTCCTTAAATCAGAATACTGCTAAATAAGAAGTAAAAAAAAAATCTAACAAACCAATGACATAGTACTACAAAGAATAATGCCTGTTCAGTTATAACAAAAGGAATAAAACAARTAAATGTGATGTGCTTACCTCTCCGCACATCCAACTGAGAACGTTCAGATTCATTATATGCAAATGTAGAGTAAGAGTTCTAGTATCCATTTTATCCAATTCAAGTCAAATGGCCAAATTTTCTCTCTCAATGGGCTCATATTGGGCCCCCTGAACAATCATTGGCTTCAACACTAACTCAAATGTATCAATGAGAAGAATTGGCAAAACCACTACATTCTGCTACTCCAAAGGAACAAACTGGAAGTGTAGAGCAACAGTGAGAAATTTACTTCAGCTATCCCACACAGTAAAATTCAGCACTCTGTCATGTACCACACAACTTGTGCTGAAATCAACATGAGCTCTGGGTCTGTGTGAGATTTGAAATTGATCCACTAACTGCACAATTTATACAAGGTAGTTATCGTCTCAAACTGACTAACAAAATATTGTGATCAAACAAAGAAAATTGTTTCCTCAGTAGAGACAACATTTTTGAAATAAAGAAAAAAACAGAGGGTAATGCAGGCACGTTTCTTCTCAACCTGCGATTGATTGCTCTAAYACAAGCACGGAACCTGATCACCGGCTGCAAATCGGTGCCAATCAGATGGCAGCCAGAGGAGCTGGATCTGAACCTCKGCAACTTTGCAAATAACACTGTAATACAAAGGCTTAACCTACTAAATTTGTTTTTCCTTTCTCACATAACGTAACAATCACAGTCTCACCAAAACGTAATTGCGTAACAGGATAACCATATGTCAAGTTTGAAAAAATAATTGTCTTAATTACAAATAAGCTTAGTGCACACGTGAATGCTCTTCTGTTCCACCCATAACTCTACCAAAATCCATCTGCACAAGTCTCCAGATTCCCAACACTTTATTGCCTACACCGGCAACTATTCTGCTCTCAGCACTGCCATCTAGGAGAGAGCGGCGGCGTACCGCGGGCCGCCGGGAACATCAGCTCCCAGGCAGCAGCATTCCCGGAAAGCATCGCAAAGCTGTTGCTGCTGCTAAAATTTTAACTGCAGCCGGTAGTTAACTGCCGGCTGTGCCGGTTCGAAAGCAGCCTCCCGCAAATCCCCCAGCCCTTTCCAAGCGAGCTCCGCTAAGMGCATACACTAGCATCTGCTCCGCGCATCTCGGCGTTCTTTGGCGGGGGAAAAAGGGGAAAATGCCCAGTCTTGTGCACGCTGCCGCCGTGCACGGGCCCTGCGGGAGTGGAGCAGAGCGGAGCGGGCCCCTCGGGGGGGCGAGCGGCGCCGGAGGAGCCAGGCTGCGGCCGCCCTCAGCGCTCCGCGCAGCTTGGCGGACGGCTGCACGGACACCGCGGGAGCGGGAAGGCACCGCCGGCTGCTCTCCCCCGGCCCCAGCCCCTCGCCCGGCCGCCCTTCCCCGCACCGACCGGGCTGATGCGACTCGCCCACCTTCGAGCCCCGTCCTTCCCCGGGGGACCGGRCTGCCGCTGTTGCATCTCTCTGCGCGCAGCAGGACGGAATGGGAAAGGGCTGGGAGGAAAGCCGAGCAATGGACGTGCCCTGCTCRCCGTCCCCGCCGCCGGCCGGGAGCGGCGGCCGCCGCAGCACGGCACAGCCTCGCCTTACCTCCCCGCCCCGGCTCCGGGGATGCGCCGCCGCTGCTGCCGTGCCCGCCTCCACCTGCGCCGCCCCTCCCAGCCCGGCGCTCAGGTGCGGAGGGAGCACAAAGGGAGCGCTGCAGCGCGGTGGGGGCAGTGGAGTCTCCCTTGTGGAGCCCGCCGCTCCGCTGCACCACAGCCTCGCCGGCAGCCGCCCGCTCCCCTCCCCGCCGGTACCGAGCGCCAGCCCACCTCAGCTCTCTGCGGGGCCGCCCCCCCGTCGAAAGCGTGCAACTTGCCCGGAGCCTCCCCTCAGGACCCCCCTCACCAGCCCCCCGTGCTGTACTGGGTGCCGGCACTACGGAGCGCCCCTCAGCCTGAGGAAGTTCCCCGGTCCCGCGGAGAGCTGAGGAGGATATTCCGCCCCATGTACCCCCCCACCACCAACACCCCCCGGGTTTGCCCCCTCCACTGTGAGATCCCGCAGCCCTCACAGCGTCGGGGGTGCAGAAACTGTGCCCGCCAGACAGGTCGGCCGCGGCCCCCCTGCCCCGTCGCCGCTGCGTGCGTGTTTGGGGAGGGGGGCACAGGTGACGAGCGGCGGGGAAGAGCCCCTTTCCCCGCGGCGGGAGGGTCTGTGGTACAACACCGCTCCCGCTTTCCCCCCACCCCGTCTCTGCAGATGCCCCCGGGAAGGGCTGCGAGGCTGGCAGCCGACAACAGCCGCCCCCTCCCCCGGGAAAGCTGTTCTGCCTCCTTCTCCCTCGCTCGCCTTCTTTTCAGCTCGGTCGCTTGACTGACAGGGAGCCTTCCAGCGGCCGCCCACGCGCGCTCCCGTTTCCCCTCAGTCGGAGAGGGAGATGGCGAAGGAGAAAGCATGAATGAAACAGCCAGGCAGCGAGCGGGAGCAGCCGGGCCGGCCCCCGGCAGCGCCAGAGCCGCTGCGGCAGTGATGCCCGGGGGCGGCGGGCTCCGCCGGCTGGCCCAGGTGGGCGGGGGGCCGCGGGCGGTGTGGAGAGCCCCCGGCCCCGCTGTGGGCAGCCCCCCGGCCCCGCTGTGGAGAGCCCCCGGCCCCACTGTGGGCAGCCCCCGGGCCCCGCTGTGGGCAGCCCCCGGCCCCGCTGTGG